GGAGAGTCGATGAGAGGAACTAGAAGTGGAGGGGTTTTTAAGTTTGTCATCATTTAGCCATTAACCAATCCAGCAATTACTGATAGTCAAGCCCTGTTGTGAGTGTTTTTTTCCTAGATGAGCTTACTTAATCTTTGTAACAGCCCTGAAGGTAGGCACTGTGATTGTCCCCATTTTACAGATGAAGAAACTGTCAAGGGAGGTTAAGTGGCAGAACTGGAGAGCAGACCCAGACGACCAGGCAGCCTGGCTCTTGACTTGGCCCAGCGTGGGACGACGGGTGGCTGGGAGAGGCGGGGCAGGGAGGGGAGAGCGACAGGCACCCTCCCCCCCCCACCCCCCCTCCCCCGCAGTGGTAACTTCAGGTGGAAGAGGAGGAGGTGTCCTCTGAGGAGGTCCCACTGCAACCCGAAGCCGGAGCCTTGGCCCAGGCTGATGAAGTGACTGCTACGTGTCTGCTCCCAGGAGCCTCCACAGAAGCCAGCTCCTTTCATCACATTTAATGGCCCATAGAAAACGGGCTCGGTTTCCTCTTCTCTGTCATCACCAGCTCCGGGGCTCCTTCCCGTCTTATTTATTTCCCTAGGAAGTCTGTTCCCCTGCGAGTACCCTGATGGCTTCTGCAGGTGTACGAGCACTGTGTCTGCATCAGGCTGTGGGGACCACTGCTGCGTTCCAGAACCCAGCTGTAGCCGACTTCAGTTCGGCCGCACATCCCAAGCCCCGAATCCGAGGTTGACAACGCAGGCTTGATGGCAGCATCGGCAGTAGTGACACCAGCCACCGCGTATTTAAGGCTTCTGTGTGTGGCCTGGCGCTTTCTGGGCCTTCTCTTATTGACTCCGCTTCACAGCTCTTGGAGGCAGGAACACGTATTAGCAGCCCCATCTTGCAGATGAGGAGATTGATGTTCCAGGATCACATGGCTGTGGCAGAGCAGGGAGTCGGCGGGGAGGGGTCAGACAGAGCCAGGCATCTGACACCCCTGAGCCCAAGGTCTTTGCTGCTATGCAGGAGAAGTAACTTCCAGTTATTTTATTAGTTAGTTAGTAGTCTGTACACACAACGTGGGGCTTGAACTCATGATCTCAAGATCAAGGGTCTCATGCTCTGCTGACTGAGCCAGGCAGGCACCCCTCAAGTTATTTTAGTCTCCATGAAGGTCTTTTCTTATCCTTCTGGAAATCCCAATTATCTGTTGTTTGTATTGTGCTTTTGGCCATATTCTCATTAATCCTCTTGATGCCCCTTTACGGTAAGAAGTCCCTCTTTTGCAGAAGAAAATTGAGGGGTCCAGCCTCCAGCTCTTGCTACCCTGTCCCTGCTATGACTTTGGAAAGGGGACAGGGTGTCACATTCCCTTGGACCAAGAGCCACGTCTTCCTAAGTGCTGGGGCCGGCCAGCGAGCATCCACTGAGCACTTCCTGTGAAGGCTGCAGGGGGAAGTGGAGGCTGTGACCCTTCTGGGGTTAACAGAGGTCCATCTGTGCTCTTGTTCTCTGGCGCATTCCATGTCATGCCCTGTCCCCCTGCAGCCAGAAGAACTTAGGGCAGGGAGTCCAAAGTCCTGAGTTTCACTCCCAGCTGCAGCACATACTAGCTGCATGTTCAGGGCACAATCATATTATCACTCTTGGCCTCAGTTTCTTGTTCTGTGAAATGGCCTCACTGATTCAGTTCTACCTTCCTTGAGTTTGCTGTGAGGCTCAAATGAAGAGGATTTGAAAACTATAAAGGCCACTGGTGTGACAGCGTGGTTGTGGTGGCCATAACCTCCAGAATGTTCCTGAATCTTCTCCACCGCCTACCTCGATCCAGGCCTGGACCACTGCCGTAGCCTGCTAACTGACCTTCCAGCCTCACCTCTTGTCATCTGTCTTCAATGCAGCAGCCTAAGTAAGGGATCTTCTCAAGATTTAAGTGGGACCTTGTCACTCCTCTGCTGAAAACCTCCCAGTAGCTTCCTGACTCAGAACACAGTGCTGGCTCCCCAGTGTGGCTTGCACGCAGCCTTCTAACCAGCCTTACTCTGCCCCTCGAAACTTGCTTCCTGCTTCGCTTGCCCTCACTCCAGCGCTGCGGTCACACTGGCCTTCTGTCTTTTCCTTGAACATTCTGAACTTGTTCCCACCTCAGGGCCATTGCCATTGCCGTACCTTCTGCCGGTGCACGCTTACCTACCTTCTGTGTTCCCATGGTGGGCTCCGTCTTATTTCTCTTAAATGCCACCTCCCTGAAGGGCCATCCCTAAACTCCCAGCACTGCTACCCCCTGCCCCCCATCACTCCCTGCCACATTTCCTATTTCAGCGTGTTTGTCACTCTCTGTAGCTTTGTCTTGTGCATTTAACATTGCCCTGTTTATTTGTCTTCCCACGCCTGGACCACGTGCTCCACGAGGTCAGGGACATTATTAACCCTGTTCCCCCAGCATCTGGCATATAAAGGTGTTCTTTGGTTATTTGTTGGATGAGTGAATAATAGTAGCAGGGTGGTCCAGATCAGCCCTTGCCAAAAAAGAGTGGCCTAGATAGATAAACTGCAAAGGAATTGGTGTTGACTGATCAAAAAGCGCTTACAGGGTAATTTTGCAAGTTGCCAGCGCTCTCTGACAGTACAGGTTCAGCAGAAACACAAATTTCTGATCTCCTCTTGGATGTGGGGGTTAGGGGCCCATGATATAAACCTGCAAAGCAGCCTTGCAAGTTGGGTGTCATTAGCTCCCTCTTCCAAATGACAAAACAGAGGTTCAGAGAGGTGCCCTGAAAGCCAGCTTGGGGCTGTGGTGGACTCCCGGGCTCAGAGTCCTTTGCACTGCCCCAGCCTGCCTCTCTGTCTTCAGACAGTGAAGCGGGCTGAGCAATCCATGGAACACTCTTGGTGCCCAAGTGGTATGACCACAAGGATTCCTGAGCTTCTGTGCACAGGGCCAGTGACTTCTCAATTGCTCAAAAGAAAAAGCACTCCACAATAGTAAGTGATCACTCTGAACTATGGGACTTTGAATGATTTCTCTCCGCCCCACCCCCCGTGTATTATATTTGCCCATAATTCCCAAGCCTTTTGCAATAAGCTTCTGTTCCGTTCCTTTCCTTTCCTTTCCTTTCCTTTCCTTTCCTTTCCTTTCCTTTCCTTTCCTTTATTTTCTTCCTTCCTTCCACTCTCCCCAGACCCTGACCATGCTGGTGCCAGCAGTGTGAGAAATATAGAAATGCATCTCTCTTGTTTTTAAAATTTTTTTAAGGTTTATTTATTATTATTTATTTATTTATTTTTGAGAGAGAGAGAGAGAGAGACAGAGCACAGTGGGGAGGGGCAGAGAGAGGGGGAGACACAGAATCCGAAGCAAGCTCCAGGCTCCAAGCTGTCAGTGCGGGGCCCGATGCAGGGCTCGAACTCACGAACCGGGAGATCATGGCCTGAGCCGAAGTCGGATGCTCAGCTGACTGAGCCACCCAGGTGCCCCGAGCTTCTGTTACCTTTCTTTGAAAGAAAAGTTAGTTTAAACATCTCATCTCCCTTGATAGCTGGGAAGTTGTGAAGAAGCTGGAGCCTGGACCCCTGGAGACACAGATGTGGGATTGAACCCTTCCTGTGCAGTTTGGCCCCCAAGTAGCTGGGAGGGTAAGGCAAGAGAGTAAAAGCCCTTTGTAACTGCTGACTCTTAGTTTGACTTATGGTGGCGCCGTGGGGGAGGCCTGAGGGAGGTTTCCTGAACTTTGGTTTCTGTTCAAGGTAGTTAAAAGAAAACAAATTGCAAGTTGCTGAGGCCTGTGGGTGGTACTTTTCTCTCGTCATTCCTTGACAGGTGGTTTCTGGTGGAGCCTGAGGTGGTACCTACGCTGCTTCTGCCTATCTTCCTCAGCTGCTGGGTGGCCTTGGGCAAGTCGCGGTCTCTCCAACCCTCACTTCTTTTTAAAAGATTATTTTTTTCTTTTCTTTTCTTTCCTTTTTTTCTCCACCCCCCCACCCCCTGTCCCCTTTTTTTTTTTTTAAATTTTTTTTTTCAACGTTTTTATTTATTTTTGGGACAGAGAGAGACAGAGCATGAACGGGGGAGGGGCAGAGAGAGAGGGAGACACAGAATCGGAAACAGGCTCCAGGCTCTGAGCCATCAGCCCAGAGCCTGATGCGGGGCTCGAACCCACGGACCGCGAGATCGTGACCTGGCTGAAGTCGGACGCTTAACCGACTGCGCCACCCAGGCGCCCCCCACCCCCTGTCCCTTAAGTAGACTTCATGTCCAGTGTGGAGCCCAACCCGGAGCTTGAACTCACAACCCTGAGATCAAGACCTGGGCTGAGATCAAGAGTTGGATGCTTAACTTACTGAGCCACCCAGGTGCCCCAAGACTCTATTTTATTTTTTTCAAGCCTAGCTTTTCTGTGGAGAGTGGACATGGTGGCACCTACCTTTGAGATTATTGTAGGGATAAACATGATTCCTTAGGACAGAGCTTCTAAATCATCTCTGTCCTGCAGACCCATTGGGCAGCCTGGGGAAGCCCCTGAACACCTTCTCAGAATACCGTTTTTAAGCGCATAAAGTAAAATATGCAGGATTGCAAAGGAAACCCAATTCTCTCGAACTGTAGCTGGGCTTTTCATCAGTGCACTGAGAACCAGATCTGGCAGTGAGTCTAACATAAGCGCCATAATTCTGAAGTTGTGATGAGTGTGAACAATATTTTGTTGTGCCTGCAGTAGCTGAAATGTGAAAGAGCTGTGATTCCTAGCACGACACTATTGCAGCGTGTTGCCTGCTTTTGTAATTGAAGGGGATGCTAAATACCAGGTAGGGGGTAGTGAAAAAAACTTCTAAATGTTTTCCCATCCAAGTTCATGGACTCCTGAGTTCTCTCTGGGGGCCGCAGGCCTAAAACCCTTGGCATAAAAGGTGGATGACACCCAGCACATAACCTCCAGAAATGAGCCAAGACCCCTGCTCGGCCTCTTTGGAGCAGAGGGGCCTCAGGTGGACAGACAGGGTGCATGGGGACCATGGGGAAGAGATTCGTGCAGACCCGGAATTCTGACTGGTGAGGTTGAGGATGGCGAAATTGAACCTTTGCTGGTCTCTGAGTAAGCTGTCGAGGGCCTGGTGAGTCAGGAGAAGTGCCAGGCATCTTTGGAGATGACGTAACCTCAGGTAGTGTTCATGCAGTATACGAGGCCAATCTGTCATACGCGGCCAATCTGGCACCGACCGCTCGCCTTTCATGAAACCTGGGGTAGGTGAGGGCCAGGCTGGCGGAGTGTGAGATGAGGCTGGAGGCAGCCTGCGGGGATGGGAGAGGAGCACCTTTGAGTCGGGAGGTCAGAGTGTGTGGGCTCCAGAGCCCAACTGCCGGGGTTCAGGTCGCCGCTCTGTCCCTTATAGCCTGGGTAACTCTTGCAGGTTAGTTCACCTCCTTGTGCCTCGGTTTCCTCATCTGTAAAATGGGGATGATGATAGTATTTTCTTATGGCGTGTTGTGAGAATTATGTGTTCTATTTAAAGTTCTTTGAACAATATCTGGTAGGCGAGAGCGCCTGAAATCAGCACCTTTGCTGTTATTCGAGGGTCTGTGAGATTCCGCTCACATAGTTGGAGAATAGGTTGGAGAGCGCGGCTTCTCTGTGCTGCCCAGAGATGAATCAGATGCAGCGTCTGCCTTCAGGAAGCTCAGGGTTTAGGGAGAGGGGGACATAAGCGCACGCTGTCCTTTAGCTAGGGTAAGTGCAATGGTTGTGCCGAGCTGGGGTGCTGTGTTAGCTGGGGGTTGGGGAAAGGGTCTTCCCGGTAGAGGAGCCACCTCAGCTGAGCTTTAAAGAGGCGCCGGGCACTAGCCAGGGTGGGAAGGAAGCAGTGGGTGCGAAGGCTGTTCCACACAGAGCGGGCAGCTTGGGTTTGACATTGTCGGAGTGTGACATTCCAGGCCAGTCATGGAGCCGGACGGGAGGCGAGGTACTTCCTATGGTGTGGTGTGCCTGGGGGGAGCCGCTTGGCCTTCGTCCTCCTGGTAGTGGGTGTCATGAAGGTTTTGTTTGTTTTCGATTTTTTATTCACAGGAAGTAGCAAAAACAGTACAAAGAATTCCCTTCACCCACCCTCCCCTGCTGATGGTATATGGTGGTTGTACATTATCAGAATCAGAAAATCGGCATTGTTTCACTGTGAGACTACTGAGCTTATTCACCTTCCATCTTTAAAAAAAGTGTTTTTTTTTTACGTTTATTTATTTTGAGAGAGAGAGAGAGAACCAGCAGGGGAGGGGCAGAGAGAGAGAGGGGACAGAGGATCCGCAATGACAGCGGAGAGCCTGATGCGGGGCT